TATTGTAACGAGACTAAGTTATACCTGATATACGACGAACTTACAGATCTTCGTTCGACGTTAATCACCAACTGTATCTTTAACAATTGTCTAACTTACACCACCGTCATGTTGAATATTGTGACCATCTATGCCATACACAAAACGTCGACAATGGAAAGAACTTTAAAAACTCTGTTTCTGAGTCTAGCGTGCTCTGATGTTGCTATTGGTTTGCTAGGTCAACCATTTTACACCTTCTTTCTAGTCAAGTGGTTACAACTGGACAATCCTGGCTGTAACGCTCGACGAATGCTGAGTATTTTAAATAATTTATTCGCTCCTACTTCGTTCCTTGCTGTCGTAGCTGTTAGTGTAGACAGGTTCTTAGCTATTCATCTACACCTCAGATACCAAGAGGTTGTTACTCACAAACGTGTTGTTATTTTGGTGATCGGCATGTGGGTATGCAGTGCATTTCTTTCTTCGATGATATTGTGGGGGCTGCGCAGTACTCAGCAATATATATTTTCAGTTGCCGCAGCCTTCGGTTTCATTCTGACATTTGCGGTGTACCTCAAGATATATCTAACTCTCCGACGGCACAAGAATCAGATTCAGTCTTTGCAAGTACAAGAAGTAGCTCAGTCTGATGAAATAAAGAGCTTTGCTGTCTTTAAATCGACAGTTGGTATATTCTACGTTTATCTGGTATTTTTAGTTTGTTATCTTCCATATAATATTTGGCTTATTTCGACTTCATCTTCAGGAAATTTTTTTCTTTTCTCAATGACTCTCGTGTTTCTTAATTCATCTTTGAACCCTGTCATTTATTGCTGGAAGATGAGACACATTCGACAGGCTATCATGGACATACGCNACGGCAAAACATTCAGCTGTTAGGCGTAAACATTGAAAAATCTTAACCGATAATCGTGAAAAATGTTAACAGTAAAAACTGTTTCTGGTGACAAGAATGAAATGATATTTAACAATTATTCTACGAGCGCGCGTTGGATAGGAGAAGATAGATAGCCAACGAGGCGCGTAGCGCCGAGTTGGCTATAATCATCTCCTATCCAACAAGCGTGAGTCTCTACAAGTGCAAGACGTGGCTAGGTCTGATGAAATAAAGAACTTTGCTGTCCCTTTTAAATCCACAGTTGGTGTATTCTACGTTTATCTGGTGTTTTTAGTTTGTTATTTGCCATATTCTATTTGCCTTATTTGGACTTCACCTTCAATAAAATTGTCTCTTTTCTCATGGACTCTCGTGTATCTAAATTCATCTCTGAACCCTGTAATTTATTGCTGGAAGATGAGACACATTCGACACGCTGTCCTGGACGTACTGCGGAACGTATCTCGGAGAAGAAATCAGCCATCCCGCGTAATTTACAATCGGTCAGCGAGCGCTGTCCATGATAACTGATTCCCTCTGTGTGGCTTACAAAGGCTCTGGTTAATTTATTTACGACAAAGTAAATAGGGACAAAGAAGATTGTATATGGCTCGGCAACCAAATAATTGCGTACTTCATCAGTCGAATTTGAGAGACACATAATTATCACAATTGAAAAGGAAGAGGCTATATTGAAAAGGGAAGCTGCTTTTGTCATCGATGGAAGACTAAAATTGTTATTATGGATGTAAATAAAAGTGGGATAGCAGATATTGTATTATTCGTATCTCGGTTTTCGTTGCTCTTTTGACTCAGGATGGAAAACCAGTAAGGGTGGTCGGGGACCTGAGCTTCATAGAAGAGTTTCTTTTATCCTTTCAAAACTTAGCCCATGACTGCCGACTGTTTTGCTAAAATATCTTTAAACTAGCATTGAAAACTGACTGACGTGTCCACTTAAAAAAGGAAACAGAGAGAAACCTGTGTTATCCATCCTCCTTCCTGTAAAGCAGAATTCCCAAATTACGCCGTAATAGAGAGGGAAACAAACTTCTTCTTTATAAACGGTTGAAGAAACTTACAAGCGAGGAGGTAACGAGAATGACAAAGAAGATCAATATTGTTTTTTTTGTATGTATATTTATATATTACTTTTTCATATAGTCTCAGCTCGAAGATATTAGCTCGTCAGTTACTCAAAAAGTCGAGTATAGGTAAGGTTTCTGTATGTATATAAGTCGTATCATGGTCTTCGTTACTCTTTAGAATCAGGATGGAAAACCAATAAGGGCGGTCGTGAAACTGAGCCTCGTTGAGGGGTTTCTTTTATTCCTTAAAAACTTAGCTCATGACTGCCAACTGTTTTTCATCTTTATAAACAGTTAACTCCTTCATTCCCCTTCATGTCTAATTTGAAGAAACTTTTAAGCAAGCAGATAATGAGAATGACAAAGATGATCAATTAGGGAAAATGGTCTCAAAAGCAAGATTCTCGGTACTAAACAACACATAAATGTACGGAATGAGTGAAGAAAATTAACTTCCAGGTGTAGGGTCACATGATCCTACTACTAAAACGGTATAGGGTCACTTTAAGAGTATGACATTTCGTTTTCAGGATCGAAGAAAAGGAAGCAGGAGCTAGTTAGTAATCACATTGTGGCGTGCCAGCGTCATGATAAAACTTACAGAAAACTTGAACGATTTCTCCCGGGTAATACCTCCATCCATCCTTCTTTCTAAGCGCATGCGGATGGTTAACGAATTGTGTAGCTCTCCCTCGCGAATAAACTTTGTGTGCCAATCAGTTCTCCTTAGTTTCTCAACACACTTTTACGCAGACAAGAGATCAAAATTACAAAAATTATCACATAGATTTATGATATTGATAGATTAGTAGTAAAACGTCTCGAGGTATCTGTAAGAATAATCGTCTTTTAGGTCTTCCATTGAATGTCAGAGGGTTAAGCGACTGTACGATCCTAACCTAGTTCCCAGGATCTCTCATTCCCCCCGCCTCTAAGTCCAGGGTGCGGGAGAACGAGAGACCCTGGGAACGAGGCTGGCAAGATCCTTGACGGATTCAAGAAAACTCTTTATTCGCATAGTAATATGCCAGATAGAAAAACACTGGAGATAAAATCTAGCCGGAAGGTGACGATTAATGTGGACTGAAAACGGAAATGTATGGAAGAGGGTCTTACTGGAGTTAATCGTTAGCCGTAAAACGGCCAAAATATTCTGCCGTTTGGCGTAAAAATTGAAAAATTTTAACCGATAGTCGTAGAAAAAGTTAACAGTAAACGTTATTTCTGGTCACAGCAATGGAATGATATAAACTGTTGCCCATTAAATGGTCAAACTTGTAACCGTTAGCCGTAAAAGCCATCAGCCATCTGTTTTAGCAATTAGGCCAGAGATCTCTGCAGAGGGCTCGGACCAGTGCCAAGCCGGACGAGAAAATTTCAGAATCTAACTTATTAAAAAAACTAATTTGTCTTGATTACCTTTGTCCGCTTAGTCAAGGATAACTCTCAGGTTCTCGTGTTAAGCATTTTGTGTCGAACTCGTAAGGGTAAGAAAAGATTATCAGGATGTGGAATATATACTTCAACAAACAAGCTTAGGGAGAGATTTGGCGACTTAATCAACAAATACAATTGAACATCTTGAATCCATCCGCTAATTTCAATGTCTGACGTAAGTTCTTTTTTTGTCATTGGCTTTCATCTCAAGAACCCATACCATGAGATGCAAATTTTATTTTGTTGAACCTCGTCAAATTTGGGAGGAAAGGTGACATTTTTGACAGAAAGTCGAATCAAGTGGAGAATCGCTGCCCAAACTAAGTAGAATTTGTCCTGCTAAAGAATCGCAACACATTCCATTTTGCTGGAATAGTGGTTCTGATCTGTTATAAGCGAGTTTATGTCATGAAAGACTTGTTTTGTAACGAGTTTCAGTTCTTCATATACGCCGAACTTAGAGATCTTCGTTCGACTTTAATCGCCAACTGTATCTTCAACAATTGTCTAACTTACACCACCGTCATGTTGAATGTTGTGACAATCTATGCCATATACAAGACATCGACAATGGAAAGAACTTTAAAAACTCTACTGCTGAGTCTCGCGTGCTCTGATGTTGCTGTTGGTTTGTTCAGTCAACCATTCTACACCTTCTTTCAGGTCAATTGGTTACAACTGGACAATCTTGGCTGTAACACTCTACGATTGCTGTATATTTTAAGTCATTTCTTCTCAGTTGCTTCGTTCTTTGGTGTTGTGGCTGTAAGTGTAGATAGGTTTTCAGCTATTCATCTACATCTCAGATACCAAGAACTTGTTACTCACAAACGCGTTGTCGTTGTGGTTATCGGAATATGGATGTGGAGTGCATTTGTTTCTTCGATGATATTATGGCTTAAC